AAAAGCAGCAACTTTCTTGAGCTGGCACAGTCTCTTGTATAAGTTTTGCAACCCTGTATCTCACCAAAGCTATAAAAGGAGGCCCAGAACATGATCTCATTTCCACCACATGTGGAATGATTCCACTGGAGTCACTAAAATCCTTCTCATTCTGTCTCTAGATGAGCAGACTGCAATTACTTCAAAAACTGTTAGTCACCAGAAAGGATGACAGAAATTCTCCATTTCTGGAGTATATTTGGCTAAAATATACAAACCCCTGTTCCACACTTGTACCTAATTGCTCTGGGAACTAGCTTTTGGAGTTTCTATAGATCCATATTTCACACCACTGAAGTCCAGACTGTTCCATTTTTAGGTGCCTCATGAGCCGATTGCAAACTGCAAGACATGCAGTCTTTCTAGCTTTTTAGCTCCTGCTTCTAGTCACAAGGTACTCAGTACTGACGTGAAGATTTGTTGTACAAGAAAAGCTACTGAAGTAACTTTAAAATATTTCCTTCCCTGTCAGACAATAAATTTGAGTGCCACAGCAGTGTTGTTAACTTGAACATGAGTGCGTTGTGAGAAAAATTACAGCAAAGTACATTTCTACAGAAGTTCCTAAAATTTTCCTTAGAAGAAATACATTTTTTTCTGTATTTTCTTTCAAAAGCACTATGCGCTCTCATGAGGGAGTATAAAATATTGGATACCCTCTCTCACAATAAAATGAGTATTCAAAGTCAAGTTAAAATGGCATTCCAGTCTGGTGTCCTAATGGCACAAATCAAACATATCCAGGTTGTACATACATCTCAAACCAAAGGCTAACCCTTTATTCAAATTTATTTATTTATGAGTGTTTCTAAAGGAGCTTCACGTATTTCTCTGCACAGGACACACTTGTTGGTCTTATTAATATCCAGGAATCATTTCTATCCGTTATTTATCAGAAAATATGTGATGAAATTTTTTTCTTGACTTTGATGCTTCAGTGAAATTAAAGGTATTCGTTCAACTTAGGGAAAACTGAAGGGAACCCACACAGCAATTGCTCTGACTGCACATTGACAAGAATATTTTTATGTAATTTTACTTTGATGAAACCTGGGAAATATTTCATTGGCACATCTCTGTCTCTCTCTCCTAGCATTATTAGAAAAGAGCTGACAGTTTCATTTTATCTATTTTATTTAGACTTCCTTGCCTTCCCTTATTATTTTTTCTTCTTTCTCCTTTTACTCACTCACAGTCATAAAGCTTCCTGTAAATTCTGGTAAGCTTCACAGCTCTGTGGGTTTTCTTAAAAATCCTCATAAGAGAAAGGTCGTTTTTTTTTTTTTTTTTTTTTTGTTTTTTTTTTTTTTTTTTTAAGTAGAACCTGCAGAGTGCTTAAGAGAGATGTAAAAATACTCCTATTTGACTACCCTCATTTGTGAGTGGTTTTGTCAAAAGACTAAATTCATAAGGAAATCAATGAATAAATTAGCAGATCATCAACGTCTTTGCAGGCAGAGGATAAAAAAAAAGAACACTGAGGAACAGAGCAGGTGAATTAGTAGATACCTATTATACATAAAAGAAGAGAAAAGAGGGTGTAAGAGATTATTCTTTTACATCATTGTCTCAAAGCTTGCTGGGGACACAGATGAACAAGTCCAAGCAAGTCCTGGGCAAGGGTTAAGAAATCCTTTCTCTGAGGGACACAGATGGACAAGGCCAGGGGCAACAAGACAGAGATAAGCCACAGCTTAATGGCCGTGAAGCGGTCTTTTGCATGAACTTATCTAGAAGAAGATGGCCATCTCAGGAGGTGCTGCACATGACTCTTGCTCAAGCACCCAGGGATGTCACGTAGGCAGGAGAAAAAGGAGGGTAAAAGATGAATTGATGAAACCATGAGGCTTAGGTTTTCTGGCAACAGATTGCTCATGAAGAAGAACATAGGTTTCTGCCATGAGAAGCCTCACGACCTGCCTCTCTCCCTCCTGGACTAGCTCTGCACTCTACCAGCATGCTGAAGAACAAAGGTGTCTGCCATCAGATTCCTCACTACGGAATTCCTGCATGCTGACAGACTCTCCTGGGCCTGCTACCTGAGTCCTGCTGCTTCCTCCTGGATTTGCCTCCTGCTACCTGCTTGCTGACCAAGGCCAGCCATGCTGCTGCTGCTGCTCCCCCCCCCCCCCCGCTGCTTTGAAATGTTACGCAATGGGAGCGCTGCTGGATCCTGGTGGTGACTATCCAGGGATAGAATCTTTATGTGATTCTTGCTTCTTTCATATATTTTCTATCGTCCTCCTTCCCTTCCTTGCCTCCCTGATTAGGATTTATAATAAACTAGTTGGACCAACATTTGAACCATTGTTTCTTAATCTCATGCTGGGTGTACAGATATTAAAATAACTTCATCTCCCTCTTATAAATTGGAGCGAGATAGAGGGTCAGTTTGAACATGTCTTGACACTTTGTTTCATCCCACTGAAACTATTAAATACAGCTGTTTTTTTGCATTATTCTTTTTTTCCCCCACATTTCCTAACTGTCAGTGTCTCGCTGCTGAGTGCCTGTGTTGAGTCTTCCAGAGCCTGCTCTCAGAGCCGAACATTTACAGTTCCCGACAAAGTGCTGAAGCACAATCTCACAGTCAGGTTTGATATAGGTCAAAACAGTCACCCAATGTTAGTGGAAACATTCAGTGGCAATGGTCTAGTATAGCACACAGTGTGAAAAAGACAATAATGTTAAACAAAATTTTTACCTCCCAATGACTACATGTGTAAAGCAAGTATCCTACAAGCCTTGTCATATGAAATTGCTAAGAAGTACAAGGGATTTCTCCTTTCCCTGAATATAAAGTAATGTTTCCTTCTTTCAGCTTTCTTATTGTTACCAGATCAGGTGCTGCTGCAGAAACAAAGAGAATGTATCAACAAATCAACAAGGAAAGATTTAATATTCTTAATAAGTTAGATGGAAAGAGAATGATACATATGCAGTGGTCTCATGGTAAAACTGGGAGTTAAAACAAACTAGATAATAGGAATACAATGCCTTGATTCTCCAACTTATTAATTCAGAAATTCACCATATGTTTGACATATGCTAAAGGTCATAAGCAGCCAATGGCAAAACATAAGAGAGTTTCTGAATGTTATAAATGATCATCTAGCTAAAAAGGTACTGAATCCAGCACATAATAGATTTTTACACTAGAAGGATCTAAACCATTATTATCTTCTAGCCTGATTTTATGCAGCAAGTTTTTTGGATGGGTTGTAGCTGATAAAAGATGAATCACCCTGTTTTCTATAAATCACCCACCCTCAGATAAACCAGTATCCCTCGAAAAAAAAATACTGTGTAGATAAATCTCAGATAATGTATAAGTTTATGTATAAAACATCTGGCTCCAGACAATATGCAAGAGCTGGTGAGAGTAAAGGGCTGCAGCAGATCCCCTCCCTTGCAGCCTTGGGATTCTCTCCATAGGACACTTTTCTTCCCACTACCCCATCTCCTACATGCTCTTTCCTTCCCCTCCTTCCACTTATGGGCAAACAAATCAGTTCAATGTTGAGAGCTGTAATGGCCACTGAAGACAGAAGAAGGTTGAGTGCACAGAAGGAGGAGAGAAGGGGGAAGGCAGCACCAGACAGCCTAACAACAAGGCAATGAAAAGGGTTGCTTTCAGAGGGCAAGGGGACATGGGAGTTAAACCACACTAACCTTTATTTTCCTATGTTTTGACAAGTCACTCTCCTTGCTGGAGATGGTCGGTGCATGAAAGGAAACTTAGACATTGATAATCACCTTGTTATCATGTACATAATAACCTATGCTGCAGAATAATTTCTAGCTATTTTAAATACACAGGCATGTGTGAGCAAATTTATTTATGAAAGCAAATGTCTATAAATACTGGAATTTCATGTAAAATGTCAAAAGTTCACATTTCCATAATAAAGAAAGTAATTCCACAATGAGTCCCAATTTACTATGCTTTTGTGTGTAATAGTTCTCAGTGCCTGACCTTAAGTTCTCTCTTACCACACTTTTTTTCAATACTTCCAGTTTTTCCCATGTTTTCTAGTTTAATACTTTCCATATTCACAAATTCTTCTCTTTAACTAATTAAAAGCTAGACCGGGGTTAACATATACTCGGTTGGTTAATACAGCATTTAGATCAATCAGCTCATGAGCCAGTCAGGCATGACATCTACCAAGCTCAGACTCTACGAAGGAGGAAAGAGAAGAAAAGGAAGGAGGTATTAACTTGAAGTTCTCTCCTTTATTTTAACCTACTTATAAAAGCAATTTTCTTTGCTGAGATCTATCTACCTATTTAAAATATTCTTGGAACTGCCAAACAGGTCATAGAGAGATGAGAGCACCGTAAAATAAATGCTTTACTCAGCTCTCAGTTTTTGCCCAATGCTAAAGTGGTGCAGCCTTTTTTAATTTCTTTCTTCTTTTTTCTTTCAATGTTTCTAATCTTTGTGACCATTTTCCAGTCAGGAAAAAAAAAAAAAAACTGTTCTGTCATGTGCTTTTCTTCTGTACTTTAGCTCATCTTTGTTTGATGTAACACCCAGGTTTGTCCCTGAACTTCCTTTATAGCTGTAGGATAAGAAGGCCTTGTATTACTGAAGTTCAGATCTTATAAAAGGGGACACACAGAACACATTGTGTCTTGAATATCATGGTGTATTAAATTTGTCTATGGAGTATGTATTTATGTGTAATGCAATTGCACTAGAAAGGCATATGCATGTACACCACAAAACATTTTTCTGCAGGCTATATATTATGTTTTATAAAAGCATAAGGTAGGCGTAAATACAAAAATTTTAGTCTAAATTTTCACAAGTGACTCAGTAAGTTACAGGTTAGGAACAGATATCTAAACATGATAGCAGAAGATTAACTTAACAGCACATAAGAAAATAAATCTTTTTGGCCCTTGACATGAACTAATTCACCATGTTGGTTTTGGCTCCTTAGTTTACTGCCAGTAACATTATACAGCATGCCTAAAAAACAAGCTTATTTTTAGATTACTACAGGCTTGAACTTGGGCTGACATAACAAGACGTAAGTATTCAAATCCCTTTTTTTTACAATTGATTTTAACACCATAAACCAGTGGATTTCTTTTAGGTAGCAATGATTACTAACAAAATAAGATTTTTCTCTTCTAGCCTTTAGCAGTTACAACCAAAGTATTGTTCAATGGAGCAATGTGCAAGAGGTTTCTATGCTGTTTTGAGAAGTACATACCCATTTGAAATCTTTACAATACCTAGTCTTCCTTAGGATACAAATACTTCTCTCTTTTCACAATAAAGCTTTTCTTAACAAACTAGTTTCAGTGTTATGTGGATAGGTCCGTCCCTTACAATTATCTGTTTTGTTCACTGTATAAGTGAATAATAAATAATAAATAATGAGAGTTTATTAGCAGATTTAAAAATTAAATGGCCATTTCTTATTTTTTGCTTGTTTACTAACTGCGTTCCCCTAGCTGACCATGAGAATTCATATACGTCTCTCATATACATGCACTGAGATAATGTTATACATGTGGCTTTATGATAATATCAGTGAGGCATATGCTTCAGCAAGATTATAGCCTTGAGATTAATATTTTTTCTCCTCAATGTTTTTGCATGAACTTAACCAAGGTAGAGATTTAACATAAGCAGCAATTATCTAGACTCTTGATTTTTTAATCTATTTTTAAAAATCAGTGTTATATTTCATAAAATTACATAATTGTTAGAGTTGGAAAGGATCCTTAAAGATCATCTACTCCATCTCGCCTGTAAGGAACAGGAACACTTACAGCTACATCAGGTGCTCAGAGCCCTGTCCAGCCTGACCTTGAATGTCTCCAGGGATTGGGCTTCCACCACTTCTCTGGGCAACCTCTGCCAGTGCCTCACCACTCTTATTGTAAAAAACTTCTTACTTATATCCTAATGTAAATTTACCCTCTTTTAGTTGGAAACTATTTCCCTTTGTCTTATCACAGCAGACCCTGCTAAAGACTGTGTCCCCTTCTTTCATATAGCCTCACTTTAGACACTGAAAGACCACTCTAAGGTCTCCTTGGCACCTTCTCTCAGCTCTCAGCCTGTCTTCATAGGGGAGGTTTTCCATTCCCTGGATCATTTTGTTTCACTGTGAACCAGTAATCCAACTCTATCCACATCTCCCACCCTCTCATCCCATAATTTTATTAACATCTTGGGGGTAAATTAAAAGAAAGTAACTCAATCTTTCCTGGTGGCCTTTCAGAAGATGGTCATCTTTTCAACAACCTAAATTAAAAATATATATATATATCTTCTTATTTTTGTTATATTTTATTTACATTTTGTGTGCCACTCCCTCTGCAACCTACAATTCTGATTTTTAGGTGGAATTTTTATTTCTCCTCTTTTCTACAAATAATAGCTAAGTGCTTTAGAAACACAATCAACTTAATGTTTAATTGACTTGGAATACTTCCAATTTGAAACTTCATAATAAAAGCAAAAATATTTGTACAAATACTTATTCCTCATGAAATCTACAAATTAAACTCACATCAGTTTTTTAACACTTAATTTTATTTATTTTTGAATGTAGCTATTTTAAGCTGAACACAAGTCTTCTTGTGGCATTGTTTTTCTCTTTTATCTCATTGCATCACATACAATCATCCAAATCTGTGACATGGTCAAAGAAATATTACTGAAGATTTAAAAATGTGGTTCTTCACATTAAGATAAAACAAACTTCCTTGATTAAACATTCCTTAATTAAACATTACATTTAATGAAGAATTATATGGAGGAAACTCCAATAGTTAATAAACAGATATTAACTTAAAATCTGCTAAACATGCACTGCTCCGTTACTGATTATTTTTTTTTAAGCTTTATTTAATAACTGCATCGAGCACTATGTCTATACTACCATAAGTTAGACAGGACTCAGTCTGTTTCTTTCATAATGGAATCATTAGACATTTTATAAGATAGATATGTGGCTATTTATTCTTTCATTATAAGTGTAGTTTATTTCTTTCTTTTTTTTTTTTTTTTTCCTAATATTAAGCACAGTATAAGGGGAGATCAAATTTGTAATGGTGTTCTTCAAAGTAAATATGCCATCACCTTAAATTTGCCCACTAGGGAAGCTTGCTGTCCCACAAAGACCTTCTTAATTAACTCCATTTTAGGCTGCCAATTACAGCAAGGTTATTTCCTGAAGATAATTGGCCACGGCATAGAATCTTCATGAAAGCACTTCACATTTGCATGGAGAACATCAGCCAGCTGCAAGACTCAGGTAATTGCACCATTATCTCTCAAAAGAAGATGAAATTCAGTTTTATTTTGCAGTTAAATCCATGCTACCCTTTAAAAAATAAAAATAAAAAAAGGTCACATGCACGCAGCACTTTCTCTGTAGTGCCCTCTCCAGTAATTCATTGAAGTGCTCAAATTGAAAAGGTAGAGATTTTTTACTAGAAATAATACTGGACAAGTTTTTTTTTTCCTTTTTTCCTGAAAGTACGTGTATATATAAAAACATAGATTACTGTTCCCACTACCTAGTGCCAATTTTATGATAAAGTATTTTCAACTTTACCATCATTATAACATAAAAAGGCAAATACTACAGATCTGGAGATAGAAAACTTAGCACATTTGTGTTTGTTTTCCTCTTTTAAACAGAAATGCTTGTTCATTTTCTTCACCTTGCATATATTCTAATAATTACTTTATTTTCAATTATATTACTTCTAATTTTTTAATCACTATTGATTTTATTTACTATTTGTATTTGTTTTTGAAAGATGTTTACAAGAGTTAGATTCACAAAAACTCTATGGGTTGCAACTTGCGATGGAAGGAATCATAAAGATCAATGTCATTCACAGAAGTATTAGTTAACTCAGAGAAGATCTTCTTACTTGTATTTATATTCTTATACAAAGAAGGAAAATAGAAAGCAAAGGCAATCAACATACTGTGGCCCAGTGGATTAGTGTTATTTACAGACCTCAATAAAATTCAAATCTGTAATGTAATAATATTTCAGTTTTCTTTTATCCTGAGGTAGCTCCATCTCACAGAAGCTGAGGGAATCATTCTTCACATAGAGCACTGTCATGAAAGTGCTGCTCTAACCCTATATTTTTTGCGATTTATTAGCAATACTATGTTCTCAGTCTGGACTTCAGTCACTCAACTGGACTGCACTTCTCACCCTAGCATTGTGGTGAGGTCTATACAATTCAAACAGACTCTCTCTCTCTCTCTCATTGTATTTTACTAATACTATATTTAGTAAAATCATTTGTTCCACCTCAGATCAGTGCTGTTGTTTTCAAGTATTTTGGGGTCCCCTGCTTCCCCTTTCCCAGAGGCGCGGATCCGCAGATCCCTCCGCCCTGCTGGTCACGGAACTGGGCCGGACCAGCCCATAAACCGTTGACACAATACTATGTTCTCAGTCTCTTAAAGCACTTTGCAAATATTAACTCTGTTTTCTACACTCCATGCAAGCTTGAAAACACCAGTAAGCAGATTTTCAGCTAGAGTGAAATAATGCAGATTTGGTGAAGCACAGGGGAGACACATCTGAAGATGTGCCTTCCTCATGGCTCCGCTCATTTTCCCAGCAAACTCTGTCTCTTGAACTGTGGAAGCATCTCAAGGCTCATAAGAAGATATCACATTATACTTATCACATTCAAATTGTTCTCAAGATCTACCTCAGTTATCACTTTCCCTTGAGAAAATTTTACCAGACAGACATTTTTTTAGATATTAAAAAAAAAAAAAAAAAAAAAAAAAAAAAAAAAGTAGTACCAGGATATTTCTTAATTATCCTTCCAACTCTTCATTTTCATTTGGGAAGACCACTGGACATGTAATCTAATCTAGGTTTGTTTTATTTCCATTCTATATATACTTTCTTCTGCTGTTTAAATGCAGAGGCATTCCTAGGACTGAAGTTGTAGGGGTATTATCCTTACAATTCCAAACTTATCAGGGTCAGTGCTTCAAACAATTGCTCCTCCTTTGCCCCACCAAAATTATTAGAAAAAAGCTTACTACTTCATAAATTCAACTAAAGCTCATTTTTCTGCTGAGCAGCCAATTTAAAATGTAACTTCTTTCCAAAGTGAATGGCAATTTATGTTATTTAGCGTTAAATAATGGACTTACATTACATCAAATTAATGGACTGAAAACCTCAGTGCAAAGAACTCATTTGACATACAAGAAATCTCAAGAATCATACCTCTGCTTGTTTCCACTTCAGAAGGCTTCAAATACAAAACAATAGAATTCTAACTCTGCACAGCACTTCCCTTAGTGTCTAAAATTTGTAATAAGCACCAGGCTGTATATTCAAAGAACGTTAACTTTAAACTCCAGCTGCAAATATTTACTATAGATTAGATAGATAAGATTAACAACCTAGTCATTTTTTACAAGTTCCTCAGTTCACATAGTTGGTAATAACATAGGGCACTGGCATATCTCTACAAGTCATCTCACAGTTGCTCTCACGGCATCTTTACTGCCCTGACATTTTAGTTCCTTACTGATACCACACACTCACTGTCTAGTAAGTGAGATTTCTGTTTTTTCTTGACCATAAATGTATGGTAACGTACACATCAGAAAATATACATGGTGTCATTCTCATCTCAGTTGCACTGTTTTGTTAGAAGAGTGATTCTCAGTATCAGTACTTTGGAAATCAGGTGGCTAGGCAAAGCAGCGAAGTAGAACACTCCTAGCTGTGAAAGAACTGTGTCTACAAAGCAGAAATACAAATGATTATGGAAATTGCGGATAACTAAGTGCAGAGCAGGATGATGGTATGCAATCAGACAATTTTCTTGTAACGTTGCCCAAGGCTTCAACAGGAAGTCCTACTGTTGACATTCCCAAATATCCTTATGCTCATTGGGAAAGTTTCTTCAGCCTGGCTTTCATGACTTCCCATCTTTCCTGGTCTACTTTGTCTTCACTGATAAACTTCAGCTTGTAAAGAAATAAAAGTGTCAAGTTGAAGAAAAATGATGCTCTTCTTCCAAATTCTACAGCCCAAATATGAATAGTAATAAAATGGGAAAGGGAAAGACAGGAGCAGAAGAATTTATACAGTATTGTAGAAATCTTCTATTAATAGGATTATTCCTGCCAAATGGACATCCCCCTTTTCAAAAGCTGTTTACAGACTTTTCAAAAGCTACTTAATGGATTTTTTTTTTATCATGTCTACAATTACAGTACTCTTGCTAAATGGAAAGTCTGATTTTAAACATCTCCTGCTTTCATTTAGAAAAATGTCTCATTTGTATACTCCAACTGCTTCTGTTTCTTGGAACATAGCCTGTTGTGCCTTTTTTTTTTTTAATGTTTCTAGTTTTTTTTACCAGACATTAGCTGAGACAAAAACTTGCAGATGCACTTAAAATTAAAAAAATAAAAAATAATACAACAAAAACATGTGCTGAAATAATTGCAGTATGAAGTTGCTTGTTCCTCTTCCTATATTCCATTCAAGGTATTGACACATGGATTGCCATATCATGGCACAGACCTACTCAGAGAAATTTTCATGACTAACAGACAAAAATAACAAGTAATTGACCAGTCTGTAGCTTTCACTTTGTCTGAAAACTCAAATCGGACCATAAATAATCCCCGTAGGCAATCAGAGATGCTGAGCCATATATACAAGGCATTTAAAGACTTACTCAGGGGAGAAAAAAAAAAACAAAAAAACAACCATGCCAATGGATCTCTTAAATGTCCATGTAGAAGATATCCTGGGGTCATATTCAAGGAAGGCATGTGGTTAGAATCTGTGTTGCAACATTTAGACCCAATATATATGAGAACCATGAATCCTAACCTGTACAACAACACTGAGCAAATTCAATGTGCATAGGCAAAGCAAATTAGATGATACTAACATAATTTATTCACCTACCGCACATCACTACAGGTGGCTTTTTTTTGTTTGTTTTGTTGTTTTGTTGTTGTTGTTGTTGTTGGGTTTTCTTGTTTGTTTGTTTTTTACAAAAAAACCTTAATCACACAAAAGATGTAAAGTTGCCTTCGTGAAAAATCTATTGATCTTAAAGGGTACAGAGATGCTTATTTGCTTGCAGTTGAAAAGATACTCCACCTTCCTTCTTCACTGTTGTCATAGCAAAAAAATGCAGCTAAATGCAAATGCAATCTTACACATACTTTAAATCTTTGTCTTTATGCCTGTACCTGCTTTGCAAAAGTGGAACACAGGCTGAAATCTGATATGCTTCTACAACACTGATTTTGGTAGCAAAATTTTTGAGATATAGTCACAAATAAATTAAAGTGTGATATGAAGTTTAAAGGATCCTTTTTACTTAGCATGTGATAAACATGCTGCTCAAACCAATGACTCATTTAGAGATACTAAAACAGACTGTAAGCCACACGAGTAGATTTCTGCTCAATTCAGGGAGACAAAATAAAGAGCAGCTCAAAATGTTGGGCACACAGAAGCCCTGGACATCTCTCTGTTTCATTATCTGTGCCTCTAAATTTCTAGCCACATGCAAGAGCTGATATAGAAGCCTTAAGGATTCTGCATCTCATAAAAACTTTCTGAGCCTTGGCAAGCTAATAGTCAACTCTAATAGAGCTGATTCTAGGGCATATTTACACCACTGGTATTCCAATTGCTTAACAGTGCTATCTACTTCATATGCCAACAAAAGTACAGTCAGGAACCTCCCTAATTGAGGTAAAAAATATTTGATGTATTAACAGAAATACTATTCGTAAATTAAAAAAAAAAAAAAAGCTTGATATCAACTACCTGATACATAAACTTCTTTGCCCACTCTTATGTAGAAAAAGCAAGTACATAATAGCCAAAGGAGATTCATAACTTCATAGTTTTCCCCTGGGCTGCTGAATGTACTTACAGGAATCTGCTTCTGTCATATCTTTGTTTTGGTTTGCAGAACCAAGAGATTTTGCAAAGTCTTCAGCTAATGATTTTCCCAAGCATCTTCTTCTGTGACTATTCTGGTTTTGCAAATATTTGAAGAAAGTATCATGCAGCTTTCAAATGCCTGTCACTTCTTCTAAAGCATCTGTGGATCTTTCATGTCTTTGTCTGTGTGTGTATGCCATTTATTCTAGAAATAAAACCCTACTAGAGTTTTTAAACACATTGCCTCTGTATTGAAGGACGGCTGCACATTTCTATTTCCAGACCCAGACCTTGTCAGGGAAGACAGGATAGGAAGAAGAATGTCCAGGGGCAGTTCATCCCCTTTTAAAATGTTTTCTGAGCTGAGACCATGCAGCTTCCAAGAGATGCCTGTCTCTCTTAGCCAAGCAAAGAGTAAGCTTAAACAAAATATTCCAGTTTAGGTGGTTAAAAAATATGTGAAGTGAAATATAAACCAGTACAATACTATGGGTCACTACTTCTAGGGTAAGAGTCATACTCATGAAGCAAATATAGCTGTTAAACACCATTTACGACTCAATGTTTGAAAATTTATTAAGGGTTGCATTTTCTGTGGGCTGATTTTCTCTTATGCTAAAACTCCGTTTCTTATTTTTAAGCCAGTTATCTCAGTATAACTGCTAAACAGAGTTTTCCAGTAGAAACCGTACAAGTAAATGAAGAGATACTTTGACTTAAAATGAAAGTTCTTTTTAGCAACAGAATAATGACTATCCTATAAATGATTTCAGTTCAATTGCAGAGCAACAGTTTACTCCACAGCTGATCCAGCAAGACATACTTCTTAAAAAAACATAGTGAAGCTTTTTATCTTATATTCTAAAACTATACTGGCTGCTTTCATAGAACGGAAAACAAAATTACTTCCTTCAGATTCCAGACACAACTTAGAAGGGTGCAAAAAAGCAAAATGGAGTTTCATCTAAAAATAATTTAAAAATGCACACATCTTTGTAGTCTGTTAAGAATTTCCTTCTTTTTTAGTGATTTGAAATGAAGTGCCAGCAGTCATCCCTTGTACAGCTACTTCTCTGAAGTAACTCCAGTTCCAGTAGATGTCATTTCCTCCACATATCTCTGCCTGAAAAGTCTGATGAGGCTGTCACCAGAAAACTTCAGGAACTAAAGGTCCAGATCCTCAAAAACGTATCTGAGTGAGTAGTACACTCTTTTTTGCATTGGAAATTGGTTACTCTTGCAGACCTATGTCCAAGTAGTTCATAATTTAGCTACTTGTTGTGAAAACATTAAACAAATTGTCAAGGAAAACTATCACAGTGCTTTCAGAACTATTCATAATCACCTTTTACTGCACTCTGCTTAGTGCTCATATTACACATGAACTATTGTGATGCATGACTAAATTAATCTATTAAATGAGATTTGGACATTGGCAGTGTTTTTAGCATGGAACTATTTGCTATTTAAAATTTTCAGGTTTAAATTCTGTGAGAACAAGGCTAACCTTCTTAACTTGGACAGTTCTTCATGGGATTGGGCATGTAGAACAAAGGTGGAAGCAATTTAGCTTGTGAGTTATTACCCCCCATATCTAAATATGTCTTAAGAAGAGAAAGAAACTAAAATGCTGTTGTGGAAGAGGAAATTCTGCTCCATCCTGACACCATCTTATATTCTACCTACATATACTGCTTAGTTTCCAGTGGATGAGGATGTATACAACTTTCAATCATTCAGCACTTGAAGAGTGTGCCAGTATTAAACCACCACTGAAGTTCTGATTTGAATTTTGGCACCTCCAGCAGTGATAACAACTTAAATTCTACCACAATAGAGTGCGCATTTACAACTTCAGCAGTCAGTGAAAAAGGTAGAGGATTGTACTGGTGGCAGTTACACAGCACACCATGATTTTTTTTACAGGTTATTCCAGACGAGTGCAGAATGGACTACTGTGATCTAAACAGAGCAAAGTGCTCCAGGAACAGTTGCAACAGACCAAACAAGTATAATGGAAACTTCTGAAATACTCTCAACTCCCATCCTTTTTGGATAAGCTAAAAAGACAACTCCTGTCTCCCACTCCTTTAATTTAAAAGTTAATTTCAGAAAGAATTCCAAAAGGCCTTCCCATCTGATTTGTATAACTCAATTTTCATTTCAGATGTGGAGAACATGTAACCAAGCCCCACACTTGTTTACAGCAACATATTTCCAAGTTTACTCAGTTGTAACTAAATGGATATATATATACATTTTGCTATGGCATTATGTTTACTTGATTCATTTGGCTCCCTTCACAGTGTCTTCAGTCATATACTCAAATGTTTTCTGGTTTGTAGATGTTGTCTAGTTATCTTTAGTGACAGCTCAGCAAGGTTTCGTGTTTTCCAGATTTGAATAGAAGACAAAACAATTCTCATTCTCACTGACAAGCATTTTTCCCCTTTTTCTTCCTTTTGTTTTAACCAGTCTCTTTTCAAGAGCAGTTTTTTTGTTGTTGTTGTTGTTTTTTGTGGTTTTTTTTTCACTTCTAATGATTGAGTTTTCAAATTCTGATTTTCAATTACTCTTTTCTGTGCTTTGAGGTATTTCTCAGCATTGGCACATTCTTAGAAAGAGTTTCTAATGAAAATTTTTTTTAAAGAAATGATTAATTTATTTGATGTCCAATTAACTAAAATTGTTGTAATAAAAAACAACTCGTTTTACTCTCGTAAAAAGAAACAACTCTTGTTTTACCTCACTTCCTTTGCTTTCCACTTTAGAAAGGAGAGCTAAAGACAAAGGAGCAATACTGACAGAAAAACATTATGAAGAATTCTCTCTGAAGATGTTTGCAAGACAGACTCCCAGTAGTTTTGAATAGCTCTAGTCACTTGTACATGTACAATCTAGAAGAAAGGAAGGATTTATCAAGCCGACATCAGCCTCCTTGGTCAGAGAGCAGAAATCTATCAATTTCTATCTCTTGGCTAGTCGTTGTAATAAATATAGGCTTGGTGTATAATGAAAACCAGCTGAGTGTTTCTCAAGGTACATATGCTTCCTTTTCTTCTGATTCCATCTAAGATTGTTCTTACTCTTCATAATCTCTCACAGATGCCAAAAATCCATCTTTATCTTTGCAGGAGGTGAAGTTTCCATTAACAGCTATTACGGTAGCAGAAGTCAGGCGTTCAGCATCAAATGAGCTGCTAAAAAGAAACTTTGTACTAAATAGTACTGTACTAGGGAGGAAACCTCAGCTGAGGTGTGTTTTGTTGTTAATTTGAATATTTTTCATGTGCAGATATGACTGGACTGGGTTGCTGACAGACTGACTACTGACACCTCAGAAAAAGAGAAAAAATTGGGGTGTGGAGGAAGTGGAAATATACATCCACTTGGCTGACTGAGGAGGAATTTTAATAATTTTGATGATGTTCAGCTTTCAGCGTGTCAGCCAACCAGACTGACTGACTCTTTGGATTGGAAGGTTCTAATGAAGGAAGTTCTGACTATAAATACCACTTGCAATGTCAACACTCACTTCACTGTAGCTGAGGTTCCCTACTCCCAGTCTTAGTAGGGAGTCAGGAACTTATATATTAACACTGTATATGTGTGCATATAACTATCTAAATAATACATTTATGAAAGATTTAATCACACAGACTTTTGCACTGTGTAGGCACCAAATACTAATTCTATGTGCTATGCTCTGAACAAAGAGAGTAAGCAGACTAAAAAAATTAAGTAAACCTATGGCTTAAAAACCAACCAAACAAAAACCTCAAAAAATCCTCAATTTTAAAGTAATGAAATGCATAATTATTGGAAAATCCTTATAAAAATATTTGACACCTGAAAAGAAAGATGAATTTAGAATTTGCAGAAAACAAAATTAAAAAAAAAAAAAATCAAAGTCTCACAACATTATTCAATGTACAGTACCTCAATATTAAAATCTTTCTGTTCTACCATGCAAATTTTTCTAAAAGTCCCTTATCACTCATGTTTAAAGCTCTTGAATGTTCAACTCCAGACAAATTAAGCTGGCAAACTCTCCCCAGGATTAAAGGATAGAGCATAGAAGAACTTATGACTTTCCTCTCAGTTACTTCTTCATCATTTAAATAGAGTAAAAAGCATGAGCATTTAGGCACTGTCCATAGGCTAGCAAATACACAGTAAGTAGAATCATTTCTCCTGTAGTCTGAGATGGTAAACATACACTCTTATCAAACAACATGTGTGGTTGGACACCAACAATTTCATGATATCTCAGTGACATCCTGCTGAGCCCAGGGCATGCTTACACTCTCAGAAAGCTACTCTGAAAGTTTTTAGGTCAGACCCAATGTAGCAGGGAAAACAACCTCCTATACACAGACACAAAGACCCTGCCCTGAAGTCAGTCCCATGCCTTCACAGGCAATGGCACAATTTTGCAAGACATTAATTCCACAAATCAAAGTAAGCTGACAGGAGAGCATAGGAGAGTTGCTGTCTGCCAGGGAAGGCAAGTGGAAGAAGGTCACAGGTGTCACAGTGCCCTTCCCAACAAGAGTGGATCCACCACCCTATCACATAATTTAAACAATACTTCCATTACTGTTTCACTGCAACATCACTGCAGTAGAACAAATGGGCAAGGCTCTACTAGACACTTATAAAGTTGTCTCACCTTTTTCCTGAGCGCTATAACACTTTCTCTTGGATAGCTTCAGATTTTGACGGGGTTTTCTGCAAGTGGAGAGAAGTGTCTACATGAGTTCCAACTATTATTTCTTCAATAAGCATTAGTATTTCTTTCATGGAAACTTTTCATCTGATACAGACTTGTTTGCATTGGACTGTTTTCGTAGCCGTCTCTCTTCAGTGGCTCAGAAATGATCCTGTAATTTACACAAACAAGGTGATTACCCACATCACAGTTGCTAACTATATTTTTCTCTTCTTAGAGCAAAAATTCTCAACTTTATCAAAACAGCTAAAAATCACACAAAATCTCACAGAATTTCTGTTTGAGATGTAAATATTTTACCAAACCAGAGTGAGGCACCATCTGAGGGCTCAACACAGGTAGTTGCTTACTAATTACATTACTGAACTTAAAGAATTTCAGTCAAATATGCCCATTACAATTTATCTTTGGGGACTCCACCTCTGGCAGTTAACTAGAGCTATTCCAGTGCCTGCATATAAGGGACTATTTTTGGAAAACTCGGGCAGTACCTCACACCCAGCAGCAAACACATGGACACTCTGTTATGGTGTTCAGTGGCGCAGTCAAGAAGGAGCACTATTATAGAACCAAGAATGACTCGGGTTGGAAGGGACCTCAAAGATTCCAGGGGGAAAATAGGAAACAAAAGATGTGCAGTACCTCCCCGGTTCCCCACACATTGAAGAAAACTGCAAAGTAATCTAAGAGCAGTAGATCCAGTACAAAGTGTTTTTCTCTATCCTCCTACCACCGGGAACTATGTAGCAAGCAGAGGTGGACATTTCAGTGACAAAAACAAAGAAAGTATTTCTGAAGTAGTCTGCAGACACTCCTCAGCACAGAGGTATACTATGTTACTTAGTACATACAGTCAGAGAAAGTATTATCAAATCAGTATTACCTGATTTGAAAGGACGGTTCATTAAAGAATTCAGTCTTTTTTTAAAATGGATTAATGATTTTTCTTTTTCATTTATTTCAACTACATAGAACCTTATTTTATATAGCATGTGGTTGACCCATAGACACCAACATGTGGTGTTTTATCTTTTCCTAACTGGAAGATTTACATATATGTCAAGATTTCTGGTGGAAATCTGGTCTCTTTCAAAGTATGCTGATAATAGGAATACCAGATTAATGAGCATCCCAGGTAAATGCATGGCAACAAGGAATGAAATAAAAAATGTACAGTACTGAGCAGAATTAAAGAAAAGGAGATGCACTCTGTTATTTAGCAATGCACTTTGAGTAACTACGAGTATTGGATCTCCTAGAAAATTTCTCAAGCTGTTTTTTACATGAAGAACAATCTTTCATTTCTATGCTCTATTCCTGAAGATGAGATTCACCTTCAATGTAAAATTGAGGTTACAGAAAGATGAAAAATCCAGCACTTCCATTGTCCTCTCAAAATCACAAGTGAAAAAGCAGCATGCATCTCGCACAACTTAATTTTCAAGCGTTTAGCTCTTCTAATATAACACACTCTGTTCTCCCACACAAAAACAGAAAACCAAACCTAGCTCAAAGGCAGAATAAGGATGCCTTTATTAGTTTTAGCTTAGGAAGACTGCCACAGCTTTTGCCAATCAATCCTTTAGTGCGTGAAGTCTTATAAGCTGCCCATTAAATCCCAAGGGGACATAGTGCACTTGGCTGAGTTTCACTTTCTTCTCATCCTCTCTCTCAGCTCCCATCCCCATTCTTTTCTTCATAATGAAGGGAAGATTATACCACTCTTCTTGCAAGCAGATGTAGAAAAACCTTTAGAAAATGGCATCCAGTTTTTCAGGGTTCCTGAGCAACTATCCTACAAAAACAGTGATTATTTCACAATGCAACAAGTATGTTTGATTTTCAACAGTAACTACTATCAGAAGTTAGGGAAAACTAAACTAAAAATAAAATTATAAAAAAAAAAAAAAAAAAAAAAATCAATGTGCAACATTACTGCCACATGAAATCACAGAGATACAAACTGAAAAGGCTACACAATATACCTGAACCTTACAAGCTTAAAACATGAAACTCATGGATAAAAATTTTTGAATTGAAAAAACATTACCAAAGTTTTTGTACAGATGATGCCTTATCCATATCTACCCTATCACGCCTAGTGAATGTTTCTAACTTAGGAACCATACATACTATACCATCTCTTCTCTCGTTGACTCACTTGGTTGCTTCCATGGGGGTACCTAGGCTCCATCCTGAAGAGCAAGAGGAAAACACAGAGCACCCAACACAGGTTTCACTGATCATCATAACCACACCCTTATATATTTTTAGGTTATTGGGTTTTTCGTTTGTTTTGTTTTGGTTTGTGGGGTTTGTTTGTTCGTTTGTTTTGTGGGGATATCTTTCAGTTTCTTTTCACAGATAATTGAATTTCCAACTAAAACATGAAATGCACAGTCTTGAATAAAATAAATATATATATAAATAGAAGGAGCTTTGATGTAAAATTTCTGACCTGTCCTACTCATTATTATACTTTCAGTATTTCCATGTGTGCTGAGGAGATGGTATTATACATAGGTTAATCACGTATATACATAACTGCGTCTTGAGCAAGTTCTATCTGAAGAACTATCTGCAAGGCAGTTCTGATAGGCCTGGCAAATAACATAGGAGCTTTAAAAAAAAAAAAAGCATCTGATACATTAGGGCAGTACAGAAAAGTAGTATGAAGTAGTATGCACTGATGGGCTGAGTTGGTATAGTTCTTAATGTAAGTAGAAGGTTGTACAGCTCATTTTTCTGTCAGTGAGCTAGGAGTCTGTAGTCATGGGGCTAAGTCAATCCTCAAGTTGATGGAAGGGAATTTTCACTCACCACAGCATAAAGCTGGCTCCTTCTAGCATCTATATTGTTCATCACTACACCTCCTCCACACTTTTCATTATTGTTGCCACATTCAATAAGGCATCAACAGGTGCTGCTTTTCTTCAGTCCAGCAACAGTAAGTGTTAAGTAGATGATAGCTCCAAAATGCAACGTGCATCATATTTTGTAACTAACACAATCTCCCTATCAGGCCATTTTGATCTTTCCACTCTAACTAGGGACTTTTTCAGGAAATGATCTTTTTACATGCTCTCATAAACTCTCAGAATGTCTGGCTTTGTCTCTGCTAAAGAACACCAATAGTTTCTCTTTGGTTTTCCAGAG